TATAGTAAAATGTAATAGTGGTAAAATCCAAAGATAAACATGGATGGTGTTTCCCCTGATATCTGTTTATAGATGGCCTCTCTCTCTGCCAGTCATTATGGATAATTTTAACACAGATACTTTTGGTGGAAGTTAAGGAGAAGTTATGAGTTCCTATATACATGCTGCCCATCGCCACAGGATGTGCTATCATGGTGCTTTCAATCAAGCCCTTTTAACCCATTTAGACTAACTTAGTACACACTTTGTTACTGTACTTAAATACAGCACCCTACATTTATACTTTACTCAAGTATAAATATGTTGTTGACTTTTACATTTTTTAAAATGATACTTTTAGTTCAATACTGTTCTCCAAAATAGGGAAAAAAAGGCAATTTTAAAAATCATGAACTGACAAAACTTAATTTATCCTAGTAAATATCCCTGTTTCAACACCACTGCTGTGCATCTGCAGCCACTTTGTATTACCACAGAAATATTGCTAAAACACTGTATTAAAGCATACCGATGACTAATTAAAAAATTTCTGTTGAAATTTTTGAAGAGCAGAACCACTAAATAGCATCTCCTTGTCATAGATGTCATCTTCAGCAAAGCATGACTAAGAGCCATTTTGTAATCAAATTCATGAGGCCATTTGCAAGAAGACAGGCCTCACTGCTGAATGACAAAGAGTGGGGAGAGGCGCATGGATCTGGAAAGCACAGCAGGAGAGTGGCTGTTCCCCATGCACAGCCCGTCTCCACGACATTAATCAGAGAGATTGATTCCCCACCGCTCTCAGATGAAGTGTTCCTCTACAACAGCCATAACTGCACTCTGAGAAGCCAAACTCATTAAAGAAAGTGCAGGTGTATCCATGCCAAAATCACCTGAGAAGTAATAAATGACATAGCAGTGGAGGTTATTTTTTTTATAATAAAGCTTTGCACTTTCTTTACTAAAGTGTATTATTACATCATCATCTTATTTAGCTTCCTATAAGTTAAAATAATTTTTGTGTTTATACTATACTATTAATTTTGTATTTATTTTATTTAATGCATCTAAATACATTAAAATCTAAATATATATAAAATAAATTGGCTGGTACATAGATTACATACATCATTATATTTTATTTACAATATATTAACTATATGCACAATTTATTATTTATAAATAACATCATTATAATTATTTATAACTACAGTTAATACAATGAAATTAAGTAATATTGTTATTGGATAATTAATTATAAATAAAAATATAATATTAAATATTAAAATCCAATATTGTATTTATCATACTGTATATAATTTAACTAAATACATAACAAAATAAACAGGTGGGGTATATAATATTACAACATAATGTAGCTATTAAAATTATGCATTTAAATATTATATATGTGTATTATTTAAATACATTATTATATATTATTTCCCATATATTACTTATATGTTTTTATAACAATATATAAAATAATTCAATACTATTATTGTTATTATTTAGTTTAATATAAATAAATGATATATAGCATAATATCATTTTTTTTCTCAATATTGCATTTATTATATATAATATATCTAGATGCATTATATTCGCTAAAAAGGTGGGGTATATCATATTACATACAATGTATTTAAATAATATATTTAAATATTATAAATATATGCCATTTAAATACATTAATAAACATTATTTACAATATGTTATTTATGTATGACATATTATATATAATTTGTTATTTATTGTTTTTGTTATTACATAATTTTACTAAAATAAATTACATATATTTAATTTTATTTTTTCATGTTTATAATTGTGTTCTCTGAGAAACCAAGTAAAAATAATGTTCTGTTTTTTAAATATTTTATAGAGTTTATATATGGGTCTGAATACTTTCCGTACCCACTGTATATATATATATAAAGCATCAATCTTTACTGTTCAATGTTAAGTGTTTTATGAGCTAGAAAAACACTCAGGGTCTTTTAGACCCCATAAAGAACATGAGGCTTAATAAAAAGTACCAGCTTTTTAAAATGCCTGTTCTCTTCATTTTCTAACACATGAAACCAGTACAAAAACAGATGACCTTTCTGTAGCACCAACCCAGTGGTGCATCGCAGATAGAGTTCAAATTTCTTCTAAAAGGGACACCAGTGACAGTGAGTAAAATATCTGTGTGCAACCAGTTTGTCATCCTGACTTGTTATATCCCAGGGATGAAAAGGGTTGTATATAAAGTTTGGTCGTTTTTGACAAAACTATTCACTCTATTCACTCTCCAAAACCACAGATAACAGAGCAGTACAGATCTGCCTCATGCATTTTCAGTAAAAATAAGAGTGCTGGATCTGTGTCAAACCCATTGCATAACTTATAGTATTATAGTTTAGATCTCAATAAAGCTGGCAGGACATAGAATGTGGTGAGTCACGGGTCTCAAACCGTTCCAACAGAAAGCACAGCGATGTGAACAGTAGACAGAAGACGTCAAGACAGAGATGCCAAAAAGAACGCACAACGGTTGCCACGGTACTCAGTTTTACTGCGCCTGGAAAGGTCAAAAACCTAAGCAAACCAGTATTTCATTCTAACCTTTACCCAATTCCACACATTCCAGAAAGCATGTGGCTCACAGCCATAAGTGATGCAGCTTATGTGTGCCGAAGATGAAAATAAAAATGATTTATATCACGTGAAAGCTGTGAAAATGCATTGTAATGGATCATTCTGCATGCAAAATGTGCATGCCATGGACAAGACATGGACAAACCTCTCTCGAGCAGATGGTCTTGCAATAAGTTCAAACATGACTCAAGCTATGGAGGTTAAGTGAACATGGTGACGACAGAATACTTAAAGCAGAATAATAAGGCAAAATCCCCTTATCTTTCCCTGAACTCTTCCAGCAGGGTTGCCAATATATGTTGAGGACTAATAAAAGCATGTGTGGATAGTCAGACTGAGCAAACAGCGTGTGGAGAATGAGGAAGGGCTGCATAGAAACAGCATTAGCAGCACTCTTGGGTCACATTGACCAGGAATAGAAGTGTAACACTATACACACACTCATGCTCCTGCCAACATGCAAGAGAAAACCTCTCTGCAAGAGCTGGACCGGTTTATTGTGGGTTATGCACCCTGTGTATACACATATTATGATCATATTTTATTTATGTTAGTGTATGTATACTTACCTTGCTCCTATCATTCATGTGTAACTGGTTTGTTTTAAGTTTTCTTTTAAAGAAGTCTCACATGCTCACTAAGGCTGCATTTATTTGAATAAAATTGCTGTAAAACAGTAATATTATTACAATTTAAAATAACTCTTTTCTATTTGAATATATTTAGAAATTTTAATTATTCCTGTGATGCAAAGCTGATGTTTTTCCCCATCTTCAGTGTCACATGATCCTTTAGAAATCATTTGAATATGCTGATTACATTTTTTTGAAAAAAAAAAATATTGAAAATAGATGTGCTGCTCAATATTTTTAATAAATCCGTGATTTTACAAGATTCGTTGATGAATAGAAAGTTCAAAAGAAGAGTGTATTTTTAAATAGAAATCTTTTATTACATTATAAATGTCTTTACTGCAACTTTTAATCAATTTAATGCATCCTTGCTGAAAAAAGGAATACATTTCTGTCGAAAACTATAACACGGTAATACTACAGTAAAGTGAACTTTCATAACAGAGAGCTTGTGTCTGAGAAAAATCTGTTGCTTTAAAATATCTTTTTTGAATAACAATAAAGGCTGCTGAAAATTACATTGAAATTAATTTAAATTACATTACATTTTAATTAGTATTACTGATTTTACTGTATTTTTGATCAAATAAATGCCGTCTTGTTGAACATAAGAGAATTCTTTCAAAAACATTAACAATCCTTTGAACAGTAATGAGTGTAAAAGTTAAACAGACAAAACTGCCTGGGTTTTCATCGACTGCTAACTTCACCGGAGTACTTTTGCAACCAGAAACTTAAAATATTGTTTTTGAATATTCACACCAAAACAAATGTATTAGGTCCTCATACACTTACTTTTAAATCCAAACGATCAACTTCCCATTCCATCTGTAGGCAACATCCTATCTGTCCCTTTAAATGGGAAAGCACATGGTTTTATACTACAGCTGTAGCATGCAGAGACTGACTTGCTTTGTCGTACTAATTCCTTTCTTCATAGAGTATCCATCAGTTATTCCCCATGCTTTAACAGATTTCTTTATCGTTAACTTGAAATAAGTGTCCACCGTACGCAGTCGTAGTGAGGAGGCTCCCACTATAAACCATATATCTCCAGTCACAGAAATATAATCCTGTCCAGCGAATGGCAACCCAGAGGTGCTGTATTGTATCCCAGCACTTCTGAAGTCATTGAACCCCTGCACGCTCTCGTAGTGATGGGTGGTAAAGTTGAACAGCTGTCTCCGTCACTGGTGCAACTGATTTCCCTCTCAGATAAGGGATGGGGAAAGGAGGAGGTGTAATTGCTCACCCCCTGAGTCAGAGCCTCCAATCTCTGCAACGGGGGTTCTGTTTCAGTTTTTGCATTTAACATTCTTTCCACAGGTTCCTGCTCTTTTATGACTCTACACATAGGCTATGAGATAATAAAAATCATGGGTTGGGCTAAATGAGGCTCTTAATCTGAACATCAAACTGAATATTTCAGAGCAAACGTCTCGAACAATAGTGAAACACTAGAAGCGGGCACAATGAAGATGACCCAAAACACACCCCTCCCCCCAACCTGTTTAGTCAAATTGTTCCCTCAGACAAAAGACACAAAGGAGAGGCAGACTTTCTTTCGGTTTGGGTGCATTGATTTCCTTTCATAAGAGATTTTACACTTAAGAATCATGTTTGAATTTTTATATGGCTGATGCTGCAGAAAACAATGACTGAAATTCCTGGCTGTATTTGATTTGGATGACGATCTGAAGGATTGGACTTCTGTGAATGAACGAAAGGTACAATGTGGCTGTTTACCTTGAGACAGGCGCACAGGTTTGGTGACCGGTAGTCCGTCCATGCTACACTGGTTTCCACAGGGGTGCAGCGTGATGAGTCCTGCCTTGTTTTCAATGAAGCAGTGCTGAGCTGCGATCCCTGGGCCCTGGATGTTGATGTCCATGGCTCCGTGACCCAGAGTGGTCTTGCCTAAAACAAACAACCCCCACAGGATGTTAATTTCAAAGATTGTTTGCTCTCAGACAACATGTCCTAAGTTTCTGGTTGCAAAAGTACTCCGGTGAAGTTAGCAGTCGATGAAAACCCAGGCAGTTTTGTCTGTTTAACTTTTACATTCATTACTGTTCAAAGGATTGTTAATGTTTTTGAAAGAATTCTCGTATGTTCAACAAGACTGCATTTATTTGATCAAAAATGTAGTAAAATCAGTAATACTAATTCAAATGCAATATAATTTATATTAATTTGAATGTAATTTTCAGCAGTCTTTATTGTTATTAAAAAAAAAGCAACAGATTTTTCTCAGACACAAGCTCTTTGTTATGAAAGTTCACTTTACTGTAGTATTACCATGTTATAGTTTTTGAAAGAAATGTATTCCTTTTTTTCAGCAAGGATGCATTAAATTGATTAAAAGTTGCAGTAAAGACATTTATGATGCATTTTTTTTCCCAGGATTCTTTGTCAAATAAAAAAGTTCAACGAAACAGCATTTATTTGAAATATAAATATTTTCTAACATTATAAATATGCCTTTACTGTCACTTTTGATCAATTTACTGCAAAATTATACTGATTAGTGCATTGCATAAGTATTTTAAAGTTACTGACCCCAACAATCTTGCCCCTAATAAATGTTTTTTTTTTATTACAATTTTAATTTTTCAGATAAAATTATTAGTGAAGATATTAGCTTGATATTAATACGAGACATGTGATGTGTGATCAAAAGGTCAATGTTGATGCATCATTTCTAGTCAAGTTGTGATTCGGTCAAATTATGCACCAAAAAATAAAGCTGTAAAAATATTATTTAATTGTGCGTATATTGGATATATAAATTAGCCATAGTAAGAAAACAAAGTCAGCCATTTTTCCCCAAATTAAAAAAAAAACTATTATAATAGAGTCACTTTACCTTAGACATAAACTATATAATTCGATGATGGACAAAATTACAACAACAACAAACAAAAAAACTACAGCTAAAATAAAATAAAATAATTGTATACACTGTTGGACGTTGCAAGTGGACAAACTTTACAAACAGATGTAACATCAATAGATATCATCTTTCAGTGTGTGATGCATAATGTTAAATTAAACTGAGCTAATTCAGCGATGTTGGCCTGCTTTTTGTCAGTGAGAAGAACCACATTCCTCACCCCGCTTCCCCATCTGCCCCCATCCACCCTTATCTGTTATCAGGCACGGGATAAAAGCCTGTGACCTGAGAGGAATCACACAAGCTAGCATATCAGTTTATAATACTAATACAGTACACAGTGACTAATACAAACTAAATAAGCATTCAAAACCTCTTCTCCCATGCCCTTTTCATAAGGTAATTTCTCAAAGCCTTCATGATAATTCCATGTGTCTCCGAGGAATTCAGACAGATAGACACTGATAAAAGAGACACTGGCATGAATGGCTGGTCAGTGTCAGAGAAAGTAAGTAGGTGGAGATGAAGGTGGGTGGTTAATGAAGGAAGGGGCTTCTCTAATTAAGAGAGGGTGTTTTTAAAGACCCCATAGTGCTTAAGGCTCAGAGTCGGGTTGCTGGCTTTACAATCCCAGCACAGAGGTGACACAGTGGATTTGACCATCTGTGTATATTGGTATTATAAAGATTTGTGTTTCTTCCCATACAATAGCATTATTGGACCATGTTTTCAGAACTTTCCACTTTTTTCCCCCAAAGTTTGTAAAGATGGAGATGTAACACCACAAACCTTTCGAAAAAGTCCACTAAATATAGTCTAAATAATCATCTAATAATAATCTTACCTTCAGGCAGGGGTAAGAGGGTGATGGCTGTACTGAGACGGCCACTTCCTAGACTGACCAAATGCGGGCACTCTGCTTGAACCTTCAGGGCTTTCCCAGTCTCAATCAAATCCAGTGGAGTGCTCTAAAAAAAGAATAGTATTCACTCAAGCGTGAAAGAAGTAATCATGTTCCCATCCTCACATTTTTTTTACATCAATATTTACTTTGGCGTCATATAGTGACCTACTGTTTTTCTAATACTATATATTCTGATATACTACTCTTTTTGTGCATTGTTTTTTGCATAGTATATAGGGAAATAGGCATTTCTGGACACAGCATTTCTTCATTGCATGGAACCCAAAAGGAGTTATTTAGAAGAATGTCCAGGCTGCTCTTTTTCATAGAATGAATGTGAATGGTGACCACACTGGTCAAGCAAGACTTTTAAAGATTTTATTTTCATTGAATGTTGACTTAAATTTTAATGACACAAAGCTACTATGGCCTCAGAGGATGTATTTTCTCTGTTGCCCATCCATTTTTATTGTATGGGAGAGAGCAGCATGAACGCTCTTCAAAACATCTGCTTTTATCATACACAGAAGAAAGAAAGTCATACAGGTTTGAAATGACATGAAGGTGAGTAAATGATACAGAAACATTTTTAACAGCAACCTCAGCAACCTTTCTAGGGGGGCCTAATATGGCTTTTGAACATTGTTGACAATAAGTAAAACTGCACCTACAGTACATGTCTACTAACTCTCATTAGAGTATTAGTAGACTGTCTAATATCTGCTAACTCTTTATTGTGATGGTCTCCAAACAGACATTCTACTTACGTCAGCTTATTCTAACCCTAACACTACCAGTCTACTAATACTCTACCAACACTCTATTGAGAGCTAATAAATATGTGTAGGTGCAACGTTACTTATAGTCAACAGAATGTGTTAAAGGGACCATCAAAATAAAGTGTAACCAAATAATCTGAATGAATAAATAAATAAATAAATAAATAAGTAAAACTTAATGGGCATTTTTATAATAAATATATATTTTTCTAGTTAATCTATTCTAAACTATTCTAAAATATTTTATTAGGTTTGAAATTATGACAAAAAATAAAAATAAAAATAAAAAATCCCAATCTTTAAAGGGATAGTTAAACCAAAAATTTAAATTCTGTCAATAATTACTCACCCTCATTTCATTCCAAACTCGTAAGACCTTCATACATCTTCAGAACACAAATTAAGATATTTTTGATGAAATCCGAGAGCTTTCTGACCCTCCATAGACAGCAACGCAACTACCCCGTTGAAGGCCCAGAAAGGTAGTAAGGACATCATTAAAATAGTCCATGTGACATCAGTGGTTCGACCTGAATTTTATGAAGCTACAAGAATATTTTTTATGCTTTGTGGCACTGTCATGAATGTACATTGAAGACTGACATGGAAGAGAAGAATAATCATCTAATAATAATCTTACCTTCAGGCAGGGGTAAGAGGGTGATGGCTGTACTGAGACGGCCACTTCCTAGACTGACCAAATGCGGGCACTCTGCTTGAACCTTCAGGGCTTTCCCAGTCTCAATCAAATCCAGTGGAGTGCTCTAAAAAAAGAATAGTATTCACTCAAGCGTGAAAGAAGTAATCATGTTCCCATCCTCACATTTTTTTTACATCAATATTTACTTTGGCGTCATATAGTGACCTACTGTTTTTCTAATACTATATATTCTGATATACTACTCTTTTTGTGCATTGTTTTTTGCATAGTATATAGGGAAATAGGCATTTCTGGACACAGCATTTCTTCATTGCATGGAACCCAAAAGGAGTTATTTAGAAGAATGTCCAGGCTGCTCTTTTTCATAGAATGAATGTGAATGGTGACCACACTGGTCAAGCAAGACTTTTAAAGATTTTATTTTCATTGAATGTTGACTTAAATTTTAATGACACAAAGCTACTATGGCCTCAGAGGATGTATTTTCTCTGTTGCCCATCCATTTTTATTGTATGGGAGAGAGCAGCATGAACGCTCTTCAAAACATCTGCTTTTATCATACACAGAAGAAAGAAAGTCATACAGGTTTGAAATGACATGAAGGTGAGTAAATGATACAGAAACATTTTTAACAGCAACCTCAGCAACCTTTCTAGGGGGGCCTAATATGGCTTTTGAACATTGTTGACAATAAGTAAAACTGCACCTACAGTACATGTCTACTAACTCTCATTAGAGTATTAGTAGACTGTCTAATATCTGCTAACTCTTTATTGTGATGGTCTCCAAACAGACATTCTACTTACGTCAGCTTATTCTAACCCTAACACTACCAGTCTACTAATACTCTACCAACACTCTATTGAGAGCTAATAAATATGTGTAGGTGCAACGTTACTTATAGTCAACAGAATGTGTTAAAGGGACCATCAAAATAAAGTGTAACCAAATAATCTGAATGAATAAATAAATAAATAAATAAATAAGTAAAACTTAATGGGCATTTTTATAATAAATATATATTTTTCTAGTTAATCTATTCTAAACTATTCTAAAATATTTTATTAGGTTTGAAATTATGACAAAAAATAAAAATAAAAATAAAAAATCCCAATCTTTAAAGGGATAGTTAAACCAAAAATTTAAATTCTGTCAATAATTACTCACCCTCATTTCATTCCAAACTCGTAAGACCTTCATACATCTTCAGAACACAAATTAAGATATTTTTGATGAAATCCGAGAGCTTTCTGACCCTCCATAGACAGCAACGCAACTACCCCGTTGAAGGCCCAGAAAGGTAGTAAGGACATCATTAAAATAGTCCATGTGACATCAGTGGTTCGACCTGAATTTTATGAAGCTACAAGAATATTTTTTATGCTTTGTGGCACTGTCATGAATGTACATTGAAGACTGACATGGAAGAGAAGTCGTTATTTTTGTTTTCTTTTTGTACAAAATGTATTCTTGTAGCTTCAAAAAATTAAGTTTGAACCACTGATGTTTCATGGACTATTTTAACTATGTTCTTACTATGTTTCTGGGCCTTGAACTTGTCAGTTGTGTTGCTGTCTATGCAGGGTCCGAAAGCTCTTGGATTTCATCAAAAATATCTTAAAGGGGTCAAATGACTTTGCTAAAAAGAACATTATTTTGTGTATTTGGTGTAATGCAATGTGTTTATGCGGTTTAAGGTAAAAAAAAACACATTATTTTCCATTTAATGTACATTATTGTTTCTCCTCTATGCCTGATTTTTTACAAAGCTCATCAGTCTGAAAAAGCGAGATGTGCTCTGATTGGCCAGCTATCCAGTGTGTTGTGATTGGCCGAATGGCTCAAGCGTGTGACGGAAATGTTACGCCCCTTACCATACTGTGATGCCGTCTCCCAGCAGGACGAGACAAAACCAATTACAAATGAGGCAGTTGTTGCGTCCAGTGGGGACATAATTACTGATTATAATGACTTATACTGTCTTTTTACGTGTTGCATTGCGTATCGCGCCGCGTAAACATAAAACCATGTCTGCATTTGTGATCGGAGAAACAACAAACAACAAGCCAACTCTACACTGCTCAAAACTTGCTGTTTGAATCATCAGTGGCAAATTATTTAAATATAAAAAAACTTACTTACAGGCTGTGAGCCAGACTGTCCTTGCAAATTTGGAACTGCCCAACTTTATAGAAACAGCCTTTCTGCCATAGACGCATTGTAGGCTACTGGTTCAGGAAACAGTCCTCATCCTCCTTAAAATGCGCAGCACACATCTGAATATTTGGGTTGAACTGTTCTGGAACAGTGTTGTAAATACAACTTAACCACTGATTTCTAGTTGTGTCCTCTTTTGGAAGGCCAAAAAAAGTAGTTTCGCTTTCGCAACACAGTTCCGCAAAACACACAGCGACTCCACAACATGGCGGCGGCGGCAACAACAAGATTTAAAGTTACGCCTTCTTTTTTTACGTGAACATTTGGGTGGTGTTATGCAAATCTTCCCACAACGTGGCGTAGACATGTGGGGGCGTGTTAGAAAGAGCCATTTTAGGTAGGCGTGGTTGACTCTTAACTTTTATAAAGAATGAGTCTTTGGATTTGAGACTTTAGTCTTTGCAACTTTACAGATCTCCTTTATGCACCAAGAGCTTGTAACACTCCAAAGAGAAAGGAAAAATTGAAATCGCAACATATGACCCCTTTAATTTGTGTTCCGAAGATGAACAAATATCTTACGGGTTTGGAACGACATGAGGGTGAGTAATTAATGACAGTTTTCATTTTTGGGTGAACTATCCCTTTAATCATTAACCAGCATATCCCAATACATCTAGAAAACTCAGAATATTATTAGGCCTCTCAGCTCCAAAAGGTTGAGAACCACTGCTTTAAATGTCTGTCTGATTGTTAGAAGCAAACGCCATTGTGCTGCTGAAATACATCATACATATAGTGAGTCAACTCATACGTCAACTAAAATTGCCCACAATGATTTAATATTTCATAAGAAGTTCCAAAGTGGTGATTCAAGCTGAGCTCTCGGCAGGCGGTTGAGTGCTCATCTTACTATTCTCTTCAACCCTAGTGAGAGAAGTGCCTTCAGTCACAGCTTGAGAGTAGACCTCTGTGGAAACTTAAAGGCTCAGCATGGGGGAGGTTGTCATGGCAACAATGTGAAATGGTAATGACTGGGAGGGGAAAGCTGTACTCTGTAATTCCACTATCATGCAATGACATCATTTTTCAACTAGAAATTAGCTGAATCCATCAGCTTATTTGGCCAGTAAATTCTGTTCAAGGCACAATCATGATGATATGTAAATGTGCACAGGATTCCATTTTGCACAAGCTTATTGCAATCTAGGCATATTATTTTTAACCGTACAGCTGCCTTCCAGATAATTGCTGTTCACCCACCTTCCCAAACATCCACTAAAGACATATTATCACCTCAGGGCTGTGGTATACGGTTGGGTTTAGGATAAACCCGAGTGCTCAAACAAGATTAGCAGGAGGTAATTAGTGTAATCAGTTAAAGCAGAGCTTACAGGATGTGAGTGAGAGATGATCATTGTGTTTTATAAAGAAATCATCAACACATCTGCCATAGATTATCTACTACTACAGTGAGAAATCCACATAGATGTGGAAGCCATGTTGAAGCAGAAGGTGATGATGGTAATGATGCCCCCGAGGGTGTGTTTCACACTTTGCCTGTCACCTCGTATCATGAACACTCAACCTTGACTGTCAGACAAAAGCGTGTCGCGCACTGAAGCCGTGTTGAACAAAGGTGTTGCTATCAGAACTGGATTTACCGTCTGACTGCCATGCAAATTGTAAAAAACAGTAATTAGGGGAAAAAAGAGAAAGTACCTTTCTACCTCTATGAGCTTCTATCTCTTTTTTGGTCATATTTTTTTTCTTATTAAATAAAAATTATGAATAGAAAACAACAAATCATATTATTTACTGTATCATGCACACACACGGTCGCCGTGATTTTGCCAAGTAAGACACGTTCCTGGATCAATATAACTGTCCAAAAATATAGACTTAACCCAATCCCTACCCCTAAACCTAACCCTACCCATAATTTATTCCTAAAATCAGTGTGAATTGATAGTTGATTAACAATTGCAAGTCGCTTTGGATATCAGCGTCTGCAAAATGACTAAATGTAAATGTAACAAGGGTGTAGAAGCATCTAACCCTGATCGTAAGCCTAAAACAGATACTTCCTGAAAAGTTATCCCTCAATTCTGATTGGTTGATAGGAATGTTGTTCCAGGATCAACAAGGATGTTGTAGGGATATGTTGTACTTGTTGCATGTTGTACTTGATGAAATCACGTTCACCCACACACACCCACACACACACACACACACACACACACACACATCTACATATATACATAGCCTTTCAAAAGTTTGGGATCAGTTAGGTTTTTAATGTTTTCAAAGATGCCTCTCCCATGCTCAAGGCTTTATTTATTTGATCAAAAATACAGAAAAAATTTACATTTACATTTATTCATTTAGCAGACGCTTTATCCAAAGCGACTTCCAATTGGGGAGTACATCAAGCGATTCGTCTTAAAGAGGCAAATAGACACAGGAAGACGCTCGTAATACCAAGTTTCAAGCATTGTTCAAATAAGTACAAGCTAGACAGGGAAAGGTTAAAGAAAAGAGAATATATATATATTAGGATGAAGTCCTAAAAAATATTGTGATATTAAAAAACAATGTCATATTGTGAAATAATATTGCAATTTAAAATAATGTTTTTTTAATATATACTTTAAAATATAACTTATTTCTGTGAAGCAAAGAAGACTTTTCATCAGCCATTGCTCCAGTCTTCAGTGTCACATGATCCTTCAGAAATCATTTTAATATGCTGATTTATTATCAGTGTTTATTATCACTGATTTGTTATCAATATATTTATATATTTATATATATATGAGAACCTGTGACACTTTTCTTCAGGATTCTTTGGTGAATAAAATGTTACAAAGAACAGCATTTATTCAAAATAAAAATATTTTCCAACTATATATCACATCACTTTTTTATCAATTTAAAACTTGGGGGAAAAAAATACTGACCCCAAACTTCTGAACAGTAGTGTATATTGTTATCAAAGATTTAAACATTATAAATGCTTTATTGTCACTTTTGAAATAAGTAAATGCCTACACGTATTTTATTTTTACAGTTGTATATACAGTACATAATGCACAAATCTGTACATAAGTGTTCAGTTCCAGATGTATATCATAGTAGTATTACTTACATATTCCCATGTCAAATATGTATGTGTATGTACAAAGAGTTCATGAAAAACCACAACAAATTCCCTTTGTGTTTTCGCACACTTGGCGACTAAAAGCTCATTCTGATTCTGATCAAAGCAATGCACCCTTGCTTAATAAAAGTGTTATGTATTATTTTCCTAATAAACAACCCAACAAACAACGCTATGTACATAAAATGTTGTCACATGTGGTAATTAAAGTTTGATCTCACCTGGAGCACTTGATGAGACTGATGTCCACTGGTAAGATTTTGGTTCAAACTATCCATTACCAGCGTATTTTCACTTACTCGCTCAGGGACATGAGAATCCTGCCAGAGACAAAAACAGTGTTGAAACAATCTTATAAATTTTATAAAATGAATTAAGCTTATAATATCCACCAATATATTTTACTCAGCTTTGTTAGTAAATTCTTATTTATACAACAGCTCAAACATTCTGCAATATAACTTCATTTTTTGTTAAAAAAAATATGTTCATTCAGGTTTGGACCGACTTGAGGTGAGTAAATGACGACAGTTTTTCATTTTGTGGCTGAACTATCAATTTTAGGGATATTGTACATACTTACATAAGTTTATATATTCTCTTTAACTGTCTTTTCTATTGTAGACGACAACTAAGCCGGTCAAGTGTTTACAGTACAGACAATAGTGCGAGTGGGAGAAATGCAGCCTCCGGCATTCCCCGTCTGCATCCTTAGCTGACTCACTGCCCCGATGAATAGAGTCTGCACTCACACAAATGGCATTTGCAAACAGATAACGCTGATTTACCCTGTCGGCCCAGCTTACACGACTCTCACCGGCCATGAGCTGCCTTTTCCTCTGACACACGCAGACAGACCTTCCTGCCCTGACATTCCTGTGCTCTTGCTCAGTGTGCTGTCTTTGAGTTCAACCACAGCACAATGTATACAGTCACTGTACATTTACCTGTTAGCTAGTCACATACAGAATTGTGTCATGCACACGGTCACACTTTATTTTAAGGTCCAATTCACAAACCATTAACAAAAACTTTTGCCTCAATAAACTCCTATTTGCTGCTTATTGATAGTTAGTAAGGTAGTTGTTAAGTTTAGGTATTGGGTAGGATTAGGTATGTAGAATATGGCCAATTGGCCATGCAGAATATGTGCTTTATAAGTACTAATTAATAGACAACATATTAATAATAGGCATAATAAAGCAACTAGTTAATAGTGAGAATTGGTCCCTATACTAAGCTGTTACCACTCTCATAAAATAAAGAATCTTTAACATCCACAGACACTTTCCATTGCACAAAAGGTTCTTTAATTTGTTTTGTTTTTTAGATTATTAAATATTATTCTCACTAAGAAAAACTGTTTTTTAAGAACTGAAATGTTCTTTGGGGAACCAATTTTGTTTTATTTGTATTTTGTTCTATGGAATCACTGCGAAGGGGCTTTTATTTGGAATCACTTTAGGGGCTTTTATTTTTGACACCAAGGACACCAGCCTACTAAGGGGCCATTCACATGTCGCGCCAAAAAACGCGTGGAAAACGCTAGGCGCGCCGCTTTCTGCTTTTCCCCCCAAAGCGTTCGGGCGCTTGCACTCCAGAGGCGTCTGCCATTGCTAAGCAAACATGACCTGCGCATTTCATGAAGATGCAGAAGTTTCAGCAAAGGATAAATGGATTTGCAACACTAAAAATTGCTTGCAGTAGCTCTGCTACTAAATTTACTTAAAAATGGCTATCCCTGTACAGCTATGATCAGCTGTTCCTTCATCTTGGCTGAGCTTTCAATGTTGTTACGGGAAAGGATGAAGCTGATTGGTTGGTTCTTGTCACATGACTCGCGGTGCGCTTGCAGCATTCTGAAAAGTTGAAATGTTTTTATCTCGATGCGGCGCGGAAGCGCCTGGAAAAATGAGTGCGTCGCAACCGCGTCACTTCCATTATGAGCGCGTCTACATTTGAAATAACAAACTTGAGCGCGCAAAAGACGCGATATGTGAACGGCCCCTAAATCAGTTGCTGTCTACAATGGATGCGGTCCCACGCGAAAAGACAAATCTCTGACAGTAAACTGCACGCGTTTTTGGCCCTTTTGGCCTTCCATAGCTGTCTCGTTCTATTTATGACGTACTGACACAAAGTTCAAATGATTCGCAACGGTCGCCTTTCCACTGCACACGACATTCGGACACGACTGTCGCATTCCTCCCCCTAGTGGCAGTCGCACAGAACTTTCAAACTGGTCGTGCAGCAACCGTTACCTCGGCATATTCACCATGGTAAAATGAATGATTTTAATGCATATAATTAATGTATGAATGTACAAATGACCCCCCAAATAAAAACATAGTTAGTTTTATGGTGCTAATCAATGTAAATAATGATTTAATAATTATAAAATAATTATTTCTGACATAATTGTTCTAAAGCAGCATTTTACAGAAATAGTGTTTAAAGTGAATAAAATATTGGTACTTCTAACCTTATGCTCATAGTTTTTAATAGAGGTCACATCGGGTCGGGCGGTCGCATACTGTCTAGTCGCAGAAGTTCAAATATTTTAGCGCATCCGCGGCTCAAATCGGATCTGAAGTTTCCGCATACGCATATGATCGGAACACCGCGCAGCTCCCGCACTACTCTCCATTCGAAATGAATGACTTCCGGTCTGTCGTCGTTCGTCGGAGATAGTGGAAAGCCGACTTCAATCTGTTGCGACGCGACGCGACGCGACGGGACAACTGTCGCGTCCGGTGTAGATGCGGAGTGTATTGTAACTTTTGCAGCCTCAAATCTAGAAACAGACTTGTGGTGAAATGAATTCAATGAAACCCAAACCTATAACTGCATAATCTGAGGTAGGCTAATTACTTGAATTACTTTGTGAGATTCAATGATAGCACCCGTATGAGATTGGAGAAGAAGGCTGAAGAATTTAAATGGCTTGGCACTGAATCAAATTTCACACAAATCTAACCTTTTGATATTTGAAACCACTTCACCTGAACAAACTGACCCTTGCAGTATTCAAAAACTTGATCTACAAAGTAGCCTAAATTGCCTGCACATTAAATTCCCTTGAAGTTTTAAAAATGTAACAACCAGTAAAGAGAGCATTTATCCATCAAGACATCAAAAAATGAGATAAGCAACAACTGGCTTGCTATTTAAAATGTGAAATAGGAAACAAATGATACACATTTACCTTATTCCAGTTGTCCAACAAGCACAACGCCTCCATTTCTAAGCATTAAATATAGTTTATACTGCTTTATCAAAGTCCCTGATGTCTTACTTGGTTATTTTCTGCCTCTCTCCCTCTACATCTTCATTTAGAGGATACATGTTCCTATTCAAAACAGCACGGACCTGCCTGTACTTGCTGCTTTGAGGTAAACCCCACATTCCTGCCTGTCGGCTACAGCCCTGATAACAGATGTTAGTGCGCTGGTCAATAAAAGGATGGAGCTTCATAAAAGAGAAAAGAAAGACAACGAATTACAGTGAAGAGAGGAAGTTTAACAAGTTGAAGCAAACACAAGAGGGTAATAATGGAAGTATATGTAGGGCATCTGGGAAATATACAAAGACTGACTATGAGAGGCAGACAGACAGAAGATCCGACAGATTGAGATTGGGTTTGATCACACTCCAAAACTCTGTTATTGCCACATGCCTCTTAACTCATCAAAGCCGATTTGCACGATCTAAGAGGCAATGAGTCACATTTCCCTACTAGTGTCTTTATCTGGAGTTTGATTCTGTTCCAAATTGCACATGAGTGATTCTATAATTGCAGGTACATTTGGTGTCTGAAGTCATTTTTTTTTTCAGCTTTTTTCAAATGGTTATATATTTTTTTATTATTTTAATACTGTGTTACTCATTGCTATGAATTACAAGATGTTACAGTCCATAACAATATAATATTTTTTGCAAAAAGTGTCTTATAGCTGGAAATCATGATTTCTTGTTGTCCGAATTAGTCAGTGCATTTTTTTCCATCATGTATCATTGTGTAATCAAAATATTTTATTGTACTTTTCTTTTTGTAATATTTCATTAAATTTATTTATAAAAGCCCTAAACAGTCATTACCTAATTCTACAACAATATAAAAAAAAATAAAGTTTTTCTTATAAAAATGTGTGTCCGTAAATCTTGCGTCAACTCTGTTACCGTACCATACTTTGCCTTTAAATTAGTGGAATTATCTCCCACAAGTATGCAAGATACAGGAAATTATGTCACTTTCCCTCACTGTTAAGATCTGAAGCGTCTATGTGCTCTCTCTAAGAAACTATTTTAATCTAAAAGTTCTTACACCAAGAGTTATTTTATAAAGTGTCAAATCTGTTACCACAATATCAAAAGGAAAAAAGATTTTTTCATTGATCACACTTTGTGTTATTTAAAAGTCTTTTAATCATGATTTCATTAGTGCCATGTGCTCTTAGCATTTATGCTAGCAAGTGGAGTTTTTGGCAAAAAATAAAGAAAATGATCAATTCTGTTACTGTCAAACTCTGTTACCAAGGTAGAGTAACAATGCTGACAATGCGCTAACAGAATTGACAGTCCATCGGACAATTGTCAATTCTGTTACTTTACAATTTTGTTACTTAAAGGGTCAACTCTGTTTATGAACCATTTTCACAAAAACAATACATTTGTTGTTTAAAATCCTAATAAACATTATTGATTTATTTCTGCACCCTTATAATATTTCAACAACATTTCTTTTTTTAACGGGACATTGTATATAATACATTTTCAGATGAAAAATATTTGCTCCAAGTGGACGGTTCTGTGAAGACATAGGTATTTTTTTAATTTTAAAGGTATGCATGGGCGAAATATTATCTCAGTTTCAAGTGATGGAATGTAAGGACTGTTTGTCTAATGAAACAAGAAGGATTTTTCCTGTTATGATTTATTGTTATTTCTACACATTGGCTAATTTGTCCGTAACAGAGTTGACAAACAATACCATAAAGACATCTGTTTTTTCATTAAAAGTAAAAAAAGGAAGTAACTTATGTTTGGCAAGCACTGAATTATTAAAATTAAATATGTTTTCAATAAGATACTGAAAAAAAAAATATCTTAGTGAAAAGTTTTTTCCTTAACTTTCTGCAATGCCAAATGTATCTCCAATTATAGAATCACCCATATGCTCACACATGATCAGACCCAACAATGTGAGGGACAGCACATTTTTCCAGCATGCAGCATAAAGGCTGTTATTGTCTCTCTTCAGCGTGCTCGGATGGGAGAGACGCTCTCTGTGGATGCTGCACCCTGCCTGAAGAGCGCAATGGAAAAAGATGAAGAGATGTGGTGGAGTGAAGGCATGCAGTCTGGTTAGCTGCTCACTGATTCCAAACTGTAGCTCATGTGTAACTAAGTGAAGAAGCAAATCATGTGTTCAGAGCCACGCCTCTAAAGATTATTTTCCTATGATGCATAAGTGTACGTATTCCACAAGTGTATGTCTGTTTTCCAGTAAAAACATTAAAACATCCTTAAAAACCAGTTTACTTGAGAAGCAAAATTGCATAAGTCTTGGCATGCTTTACACAAAGAATACATCTTGAGTAATGTTATTTTATCTTATTGTTAATAATCTTTTATTGTTGTTTTATTTTTATATTATTATATTTGACATTACATTATATTATTGTTTCTAATTTTTACCATCATCAAATTTATTGCGCTTTATTCTTAAAACAATTTAAAAAATGTCAATATGGTAAAAAAACATAATTCTATATATATTCTATTGATATGTCAATGTAATATTTAATTATATTATATTATAGTTTATGCCTCAATTATTATTATTAAACATCGTCATCAGATTTAAGTATAAATTCAATTAATTTATATAAGTATAAATCATTTATTAACCATAAAATCGTTTTTAAAATAGGGTAATAAAAATTAACTTATTTTAACCCGTTAACTGTCACTCACATTTTTGAACAGACGTGAAAGTGCACTATCCAAACTTTAATTTTTATAATTCATGAATGAAAACATTTTGTAACATGCATTTGATGTACCATTTTCATGGTAATGCAATGTCTGATTTTAAAATGGTTTTCAAAGGATGAATTTTGAGATTTTACGTTTTCAATTGATATATAATTTCTGTATGATTTGTAAAGTGAAAAAGGCAACGAAGAAGACTTTTTGTGACAAAGGTCAGAACTCCTGTTATGATGTAGACTTTTAAGGTGCACTCTTGTCATAAATTCATCTATTACTTTTCCTACATAATATTTAACAAAAAACATTGGTACAATATCTATTTAGGAGCCTCAGACCTTTCCAACGATATATAGTTTGATATAGTCATGATTAGATTAGGATTTAATTGTAATATTTTTTTACTTTTTCAGGCCCTGATGCTTGCTTTCATAACGCTTAAGTGTCAAGTTTAGAAGAGATGCTGGATCATTCTGAAAGGCGGATGACACAACAATCAGCTCTTCAAAATGACAGCACTGTGGGCTGGAAGGAGGCCATGGATTAATGGTAGACACATCTCTGAATGGAAAGACATGGTGGTGGTTTTTGGAACGTAGATGCTCCACCACATGTGATCCACTCTCTCATACATATTGCTGAGGTTCGTTTAAAGGATTTCCCTTCCAGATAATATTCTGTATGCTGAGAAAATGCTGAAGGAGAAGAACTTTGTAATTGGTTTATAAGAGAGTGAGGAAATGTGGCGAAGACGCTTGCAGCGAGTCCTGGCTGTTTAAAGGTAATAACAGCTTTCTGGATTATTCATCAGTGGAATTTCAGTTAGGCTTGAAAGTACAGGGACAGAGAGAGAGAGAGAAAGGGGGAGATGATGAGCTTTTTCAATAGTATGGTATCTTCTGCAAGCTCCCTGCTCAGAGACCTCCACCTGGTGGTAAAGCTCTGCTCTAATACTGTACTTCTCAAAATTGTGTCTTTTCTGATACAAGGGCATGGAGAGAGAGATGGAGAAAACAATGCTGACTGCAACATAATAAAATATGGTGATATAAATATATAATAATAATAATAACAACAAATTTTTATATTAAAAATATGGTTTTATAATGTATTTTTAAATAATGTTATATATAATAAACTAATATAATAACTATATATGAATATATCAATATAAATGTAAAATTATATAAATTATATTAATACACACACAAATCTTAAAACAATATTCAGAATATATCTTTATTATCATTATTATATGATATTATGCATGTATTCATGTAAATTATTTTTTCCCTAAAACGTCCAGGTTGTAAAATGTTTAAATTAAAATTAATAATGACATCAATGAAGAAGAAGAAGAATCTTTTATTAGGCTATATTAATATTAATGCATATATTAATAATATATATTTAAATTTTTAGATAAAAATGTATTTCACACAATGACACAATAACAACGCAAGTGATGTAATTATAGCAGTGGAATGGAATGTTTTTGGCATTTAGTATGAATATGTTAGCCTTAAGGTAATTTATAAGCTACACGTGCTCCAAAACAATGACAAAATTGGCATTATATATAGAAGATATAAACATTCAAACTTACATTTTATTGGCTATTTAAAAAAGGGGGAGGAGCTACTCTATATATCCCGTCCTGTCTTCCTGTTTTTAGTGGAAACGATGTCAACACATTGAATAACGCTGCACGTTCAAAGCAATTCAGTGAGCCTTTAAGTGTTTGTCTCTTCGCAAATATTCTGGACATGTAGGTTGAATTTGTAGATTTCTAACTTTTTCTTGTCTTATTTTACCCCAAAAACGTTTCTAAAAGTGGAATTTGAACGTTTCAAATAATAATCATTTGAGCAAAATATGAAAAATCGCAGTCATTTGCAACACATGATATAGGCTGCCTATCATAATGTGGAACAACAAGCAACTGCCTCCTTATCAACCGTTTGTCATTGTTGAACTCATTTCCACAATGTATTTGATCACAATGCCTAAGGCCTCCCAATGAAAGGTTAGATTTTTGTGAATTTTTTTAATAAAAGATCAAAAGGATTAACAATGCAGATTAATTTTCACAGCCTTCTTTGATCATATTTACCAAGGGTGCCGATATTTTTGGCCATGACTGTATAATCGGCACTGTTTTCCACTAGTCAAACAAACCTACTTTTAAAATTTTGAAACTCATTCCACAGAATCACGCAGATTGTCCCCTCAAATCAGCGATTAAAAATTTAAATAAATTAATAAATA